TCCATAAAGATCTAGGTATTAGTTTCTTCAATGAATAATTCTCCTAATTCTTTCTAAATTAATTCTAAATCTTATTCTTCTGAATTGATCATTTATCCTTCTATTGATAAAAGGAATTGTAGATATTCTATTAATCCTTTTTACTTTGATAATTTGTTTTAATAGTCTTATTCTGTGAATTGTACTTTTTTTAATTCAGAAATAATTATTTTTTCTATATCACTGTTAAAAAAAATTATTTTTGTATAATCTTTAATTACTAAAAGTAGAAAATCATCAAGATTTATAAATTATAATAATTTCTGTAATTCTTGTGGGTTTGTTTCTGCTAATATTGTTTAGAAAGCCTTCTTGATAGTGAGTAATTTTAAATGTAATTGTTGAAGTTTGAACCTTAATTTTAAAATAATTTTTTTTAAATGCATGTCATCAAATAGTTATAAAATTTTCTTATAATTTTAAGATTGCAAAGGTGTCTCAATTTCATATCTTATTTGAATAATTTCCTAAAGAAATAACATAGATTCATAATTATCATTTTTAAGTTCTAAGTTGATGTCTTCATAATACTTATAAAGATTATTTAATTAATTCTCAAAGAATAATATAATGTGATGATTATTTTGAAGTAAAAAAATTTCAATTTTTTTTAATTGTTTCCAAGAATTTTAAATAAACTGAATCAAACTTTAAGCTGCTTCTAAAAATTTTATTTTATTCAAAGAAATTGCTGGTAAAGACATAAGTTTCAATTATAAATCATCAAGCAATTACTTGTTTTTATCTTTTAATTCAAGTTTTGTTAATTCAATTTAAATAAAGTCTCTGCATGACACAAATCTGATTATCTAATTGAATTATCAATCAATTTCATATGAAGGGATAAATTTTAATTTTATAAGATTAGGTCAGATTATGAAGAGAGTTGTAAGTTTTAAAGTGTAGATAACTTCTAATTAATTTTGTCACAAATTGAATTGTAAAGTTTTGTAATTGACTCAATTAGTTTTTCTGGATTGAATATATTTTGTTAAGGATTATTAATTAATACTTCTAATTCATCAAAGGAACTATATTATGAATTTATAGTTTAGAATTAGATATCATCAATTAATCTAATTCTTAAACAAGCTTTTATTTTATTATATGAAGTTCATTCAACAACTATTTAACTTTATCGACATCTATTTTGATCAATTTTTCGATATTTTCTAATTTTTTTTTCTAATTATTTTCAATCATCTAAAGTACTTTTTTAAATCCAATAGTTTTGGAATCTGATTCAAATTTTTCCAAGTAAACAGTACACAAAAGATGTTGCTATCTCTTTAACTTTTTATCAAATACAACCATATGTATTATTTCATTAAGGTTTTAACAGCGATTCAGCTAATCGCTGTTTCTATCATTTTTGTTTAAAACATATTTTTTAAAATTAATAAATTAAAAATAAAATTAAACTTAAATATTAGCTTTTATATTTAATTGACTTTGTATAAAGGAATGATCAGTAAATAGTAGTATATAATTGTTCAAATTTCTCTAATAATAAAAGTCTTCTTAAAATTTATTCATTAGCCCCTCACATAAGAATTTCCAATATTAATAAAAAGTATATTCATTTGAATAAAGTGTTCATAACATAATAGTAATTTTCAATTTATTATATTAATTGGTATGATAAAAATTCCAAATAATTTTTATTTAGTGCAACGCATAACATAATATAAAGGTTTTTCCTTCCTAGTTGCTCTCCGCTTACCTTCTTTTAATTAATTTTTTCAATTATTTCCTATCCAATAAAGATTTTCTTTTTGTTCTAAATTCCTCATTATTTCTAATCTTTTTTCCCATCTTAGATTTTATCACTTTTTAATATTATTAAATACATACTCAAAGTTGATCCATCTTCTGACGTATATTTAATTTTTTTATTATCAATTTAATTAGATAGAGTTTTGTTATTTAATTCATATTTTTAAGCTTATATAAAATATTAATTTTAATTTTAAAATGAAAAAGATCAGATTATTTAAAAATATTTTACCTTTAATTACTTTACCAAAAATGAGAAATTCTTAAAAAGAGGTAAAAAATATAAAATTAGAATTTAGATAGTAAGAAATAGAGATTTTATAATTTAAAAATTATAAACTTTTACATCTTTAGAATTGAAAACTCTCTATTTAAATTGCTAGTAACAAATAAAATGGAAATTGTCTACTCCAATTCAAAGACTTTCTACGTTTTTTTGGTGTTATCGTTTTTCTTTATTTTGAATTGACAAAATATCCGCATTGAATTATTGCATTATTTTAAGAATTCATTTTGCTAACATAAAAAAGGTGTTTTGTTTATTATAATCAGCGATCAAGCAGACACTTTTTTGAATAAGAAAATTTGAAAATATTGGTATAAAAAATTATTATTAATTTTAAATAAATTCAATTAAATTCAATATTATGGTATCTAATACCTTCTCTATAATCCAATATAAGCACTTAGGGTGTTCATAAAAATTTAAGTACTAATTCTATTTACTTAAGGGAATTTTTGATAGAATTTGATTATAAATGGTAATGATGTTGATCGTTTAGAATATATTATGCAGTTAATAACGAAAATTGACTTCAATGCATATAATAGTTTATAAGTCTGCTATCTTGCATAGAATAATAAATAAAATAAAACATAGCACTTTATCTTAATGCCTAAATTAGAAGATTATTATAAAAATTAATAAATGAAAGATTTTATTAATTCTGAAATACTTAGATTTAATTGGATAAAATAGTGATTTTAATAAATTGGAATTTTTAAAATTAAGAAAATGATTAAAATACATAAAT